AAGTATGGGCAGAACCAAAGCTCAACCAATATAGGATGAGCATGTATGCAGCGGAAGTCTGATAAATGGACTGACTCACATAGACTGAACTCACGGAGATATCACTCAACACACAAACAATCATGAGATGGTGGGGTCTGAGCCAATCATAGACGATGCTCAGGCCCCGTACAACCATGCACAGATGAAACGTGGGAGGAAGAGACGAAGGAGGTGGGAGATGTAGGCAGCACCAGATGTTACCGAGATAGAATCCAGTAGGTCACCGATATGGTAGTCCAAAATGTCATCGAACAAGATCAAAATGTCGTGGACAATAAGTCACCAATGTCGGAGGTACAGCGTCCTAATGTAACCGGTGTCCAATCTGTGATGCCGCTGAGTATCAATCCCAACAATCTCCAAGTCTCGAATCTGGTAAGTATCACAGCCTCTTACCACCGAAGTCCAACACTGATCTCTGTCCAACTCGTATCAAGTCTCCAATCTGAAGAAGAAGAAGATGTCTGAAGAAGAAGAAGAAGAAGTCTGAAGAAGAGGAAGATGAAGTTTGAAGAAGAAGAAGAAGAAGTCTGAAGGAGAAGAAGAAGAGGAGGAGGTAGCAGAGGAGGAGGGAGAGATGGCGATGTAGGGAGGAGTGTCTTCGTTACCCTGTCCTGGTCCGAAACCCTACCTGCAAGGTGCAAGGTGGGGCCTTGAAGCCTTCTGCAGTTGAAGTCCGCGGAAGCTATGGCGCCACAGGTAAGTACCAGGTAAGTCTCTCGCTGCTCTCTATCCTGAACTGCAGTCTAGCGCTAACCTCGCGCTACTGCAGTAGCGCTGCGCTCTAAACAGAATAGCGCAGCGTTCTCCCAAGGGCTGCTGCTCCAGAATGCCGAACAGGCGGCCTTCCGGTACCTAAGTACCGGTGTGGAAAGGCCGGCCTCTATGCTGCGAGGCCGAGCCGTGATCTGAATCGTCAAAAGTGACAATTCAGATCAGACCGGCGGGCGGCAGCCTCAAGAGCGCCGCCAGGCCCAACCTACCCGTCTGGTCTGGTCCTAAAATGTGGCCTAAAGGCCAACCGGTGGCCTGCAAATGGCTCTTCCGGTCTAAAGGTCCGGCCTTGGGCCTGGACCGGCCTCCGAACCCCTATCTGTCGGGCCTAACCGGGCCCGTGTGACACAGTGTGTAACACACTCCCCCCCTTAAAAGAACGAGCTACCTGCGAGGGCAAAGTTGTCTGTCCGATACCAGGGTGGGTCGGGTGGGACGAGCTTTGTCCTTGGCAAGTCTTCGAGTCTCGTAGTCGGAGAAGATGAGAGGTGCAGATGCCTGTAAGTCTGCGCGGGAGATCCAACGAGTGTCATCCAGGTCACATTGCTTGAAAGTGACTTGGTATTGCATTGGCTTGTTGCCAAACTTGCGGTGCCTGATGACATGGTCAACCTCCTGATGGCCGTCCATAGAGGGCGGATCCTGTGATCGTCGGCCCGGGAACTCGTCTGCGGATGGTGGTGTGTAGATGGCCAGCTTCGACGCATGAAAGACCGGATGCACACGGAGGTGCGGTGGAATGGCAATCACAAAGGAAGGACCTGCAGGGTCGTCGCCTGCTGCAGAAGTTACCTTCCATGGTCCACCATTTCGGGAGGAGTTTGCGCGAGACGTCCTGCTCGAGCGCGAATTCCTCAGCGAGGACCCAAACAAGGTCTCCCTCGTGGAAAGGACATGGGAGTTGACGTCGGTTGGCTTGCTGCTGCATGCAGATTTGAGCCTTTTGCATGTTTGCGCGGGCTTTGATCAGCAAGTCCGAATACTTCCGAACGGAAGCGGGAGAGCAAGCGACGTCTATGTCGGCGGCCCGTGGTAGAAGAAGATCGGCAAAGACTCGGGCTTTCTCTCCACCGTGATGCAACTCGAATGGAGTGATGCAGATCGCCGGATGCACCGAAGTGTTATAAGCGAACTCGATGTCGGGAAGTCGGTCAACCCAATCTTTCTGGTCTGGACGGATGAGTGTACGTAACATCATTTGAGCGGTTTGATGTGTTCGTTCCGACTGTCCATCCGTCTGCGGGTGCCGTGCGGAACTCGGCTTCATAGTCGAACCGGACTCCGTCATGAGGGAAGTCCAAAAGGCAGACATGAAGCG